AAACCCCAGATCCCCTCCCCCCCGCGTAATGGCTGAACCTATTAATCAGGACCTGGCCTGGAGGGTCGCTCGAGGGTCCCTCTCATTCTCACCCTGTGCAGGGTTCAAAAAGCTCCTCTGAACTCTTGCGCCAAACCCTCCATCACCCTGAGCAGGAAGTAAACACCCTCGGTGCATCATGGGCGCCATCGGATCCTCCCATCCTGTCATGTGACCGTGCGCGGATTAAGCCGAGTGAGGTGACAAACCTTCCCACGGCTTCTAAGCCTCCTCAGCCACCTTCCAGGTTATAAAGTTACGCAAGACTCAACAGAAGAGGATGTCACCAATCAGGGTCTCTGTAATCCTGACGGTCTGTTCGAAAACCCAGAGAGGGCACGGTGGCCCTTCCAAGACTAGCACGCTTCCTTTGGCACCCGCGTTCGTGGCTTCCAGAGCCGCTCCGTCTGGGGCAATGAAAGCGTCGCCTCGGAAGGCATTCACGGACACACGAGGCTTGGACGGAAAGGGAACCAAAGGATCTTTGTCACACAGCACTGAGTCCAACCCCAGAAACCCCAGCTGTGTGACTGGGTAATGGTGGCCACCTCTGAACGGCTTTAAAAGGGGATCCAGTAAACCGGAGGGGGAGGACCTTCCCAGGGGCTACCCCAAGCCCTCCTTTCCTCCCACTCCCAGGGCCGGCCGGCCGGCCTGTGCGCACAACGGGTTTCTGGAGAAACACAGGGCGAAGAGCGGAGGGCCTTCAGGGATGGTCAATGGGCTTCCTCCAGTGTCGGCTAGTCACCCATTTCAGGGAAGACCCGACAGGGGTTCCACCAGCCCTTGAACCGAAGGACAAAATGAAAGGGGAATCGTCACAGGCTGCTCCCTCTTGCAAAGCGGCACACAAGCAGAAGAGGAAGAAAACAGACGCCAGGCTGAAAAGGTCTCTCACCTGTACGACTGGAGGACGTCGATGATCCCCACGTACAAGAGAAGCCGCTCCCCCTTGGCGTTCCGTGCTGGGATCCCCCCCATCCTAGTAAAAAAAGTTGAGGAGAGAAGGACAGAAGGTGAACCGACTGGGGCCCCTGCAAGCCCAAAGGCCTCCGGATTACCAGGGATCCTCTGGGATCCACCCCTGGCGCAGGGAGTGTCCCAGCCTGGGAGGGTGCCTCAGGCAGGGCTCACAGCAAGAAGCCAGCAAACAGCCCGTTCTGGGAAAGGATTTCAAAGACACCCTCCCCCTTCACCGTGGGGCACTTTGAGAGTTGACAAATACACAGAGGACCTTCCTGCAGACCGTCCGGGTCTGGAGGGCAGGACTCTGCTTTCAAGGCACTGTTTTGAGGGGTCCACAGGGACAAAACAGAGTTTGGAGAACTCACTTCTTGGCCTGTGGGTGCCGGAGTCCCACGGGGTGCCCCCCCCAGCATGGCCAGGCCCGCTCTGGGATTCCTGGGCCTGCAGCCCTGCCTCCCTCCCAGTCCTGGACTCCCCAGCAGGCCTTCCGCTCCGAGGGCCGCTGACTTACTGGTCGTCCGTCTCGATGGTTCCCCCTCGCCGGGCCTCCCCCTGGATGGACTCCATGGCGGTCGAGTAGAGGGCCTTCTGGGCCGCTGGCCGCCGGGTGTCCGCCTGGGAGGCCCCATCCACCACGGCGCGCTCCCGCTGAGCCTGGTCCAGATTGTGGATCGCCACCAGCAAGCTGTAATCCATGATTTTGAAACTCTGCAACACCTGGGAGCGGTTTCGGGTGGACAAAAGGAAGAAGTAAGAGGAGGAACACCCAAGGGCGAAGCCATGGGAATCTGCTGCCGAGGTCTGGCTAGGCAAGGCCAATCCCTTTAGGCAGCTCTGCTCTTTCCAAGCCAAGCGGTCCAATGTTTCAGTTTCAAGCTGAGGCCAACCCAGCCTCTGAGGCATTCGCTCCCTTCCACGGACAGAGTGTGCTGGGCCTGGCCTCTGGCTTGCCCTTCAATGCCCAGCCCCAGCCCTGCCCCCTAACAGCCATGGGGCTCTGAAGGAGTGGGGGGCTGATGCTGCGGCTGCCCGGGGGGGGGAGGAGGCACCTCTTAAACCAAGGCAGCTGCCTCACTCCAGCTAATGGCAGGGCCCACACAGCCTCTGCCTTTGAGGGGAACCACAAGACCCCCCGTACCCCCCCTTCAGGGTGAGCAGAAGGGGCCCCTCCCTTGTTCCCTCTGTGCCCACACGCCAGGTGCTGCGACCGGACCTTGCACCTACCAAGCAGTCCCTCTGCAAGGTCTTGCACAAGGCATTGTACATGTCGGCATCCAGGAAGAGGCCGTCAGAAATGTCCTGCATGAAGTCCAGGTCCTTGTAGGTCGGGAAGACCTTTTCGCGCTCCTTCGGCGAGGCCCGGCGCTTGTAGGTCGAGCCCTTGAGGTCGTACTTCAGGTGCATGCGGACCGAGCGGGGCAGCAGGTTGTTCATCACCACGATCCGGATGTTCTTGCCTCCCGCTTGGACGCAGTAGAGGCCGTAGAACTTGGGCAAGAGCGTTCGAGGGTTTTGGTTCAAGTTCTGGGAGGGAGGAAAGGAAAGGAGACGGAAATCGTCGGGCGGAAATCCCCCAGCAGCTCCAGGGAAAAAGAAACAGGGAAGGAGAAGAACCGAGATCCAGAGGCGGAGAGGGCCGAGAAGCAGGATGCCTTGAGTGTCCTCTCGCTTTGGGGGCAAATTTCCACCGGGCCACAACAGCTGGAATAATCCCCCCCCTTGCATGGTCATCCGCCAAGAGAGACACCTCTGTATGTACAGGCACGCTGCTAATATCTTTACTGTTTACTCTCCACGGGTGGGCAGAGAAAATTAGGGAATGTTCAGGGTTATTCCTTGGAAGCCCAAAGGTCACAAATGTACAAAACGCAGCAGGTAGAGTCCACGGGAGGCCACGTGTCACAATGGACCGGAGGACACAGACATTGGAGGGGAGACGATTTTTAAACACTGCTATGAAATCCTGCGCCCTGCCTGTGACTCCCTGGGGGCAAAAGGACCACCGTTTGAGTGTTCCTACTCTCCCCTTTCGGAGGGCTTGAGTTTTACTGCTGTTTTAAACTGTGCGTCCCACATCCTGACTCAACACTTTAAATGAAGATGGAGAATAATCCTGTGAGTAATCCGGCTCCCCCCCCCCACCGCTGCGCCCCTTGACTCACCATGTAATAACCAGGCAGCAGTTTCTGCAAAAATTCGGCTTCTTTGTGCTGAACCGTTTTGATGATAAACTCGTCGTCGCTAGAGACGTAGAAGATGGAGCCACTGGCCCCCGAGTTGGACAGCTCGATGAGGGGCTCACTGCAGAGGGAACACTGGGGGGGGGGGGAAGGGAAGGAGACACAGGGAGAGAAAGGGTCATTGCAGGACGCCGGGTCACTCAGGAGGGGGGCACAAACCCTTTCCCAAAGTGGGTGCTCTCCAGACATGTCCTCCCACTGTAACATCTCATCAGCCAGGATCTGAATGATCTCTAGAAGGGTCAATGCCTAAGAGTCCTGCAGGAGACAAGAACAGAGAGAGAGAGAGAAAGACTCCTGACCAAACTCACCAGGTAGTCATCCGGTCGGATCCCAAACAGTTCCCGGAAATAGCGGAAGGCCACTGGGGCGTACGTCTTGAAGCGGAAGTCATTGTAGTGATGGGCCGGTGTCAAGTTGCTGCCTTCACTAAAAAATAATAATAATTTTTAAAAGAAAGTAAGCACTGCTTTGCACATGCTGCGAAACAGGTCATGTGTCAGAGGGAGGGAGGGAGGGAGGGGGCAACTCTGGGTGGGTCCCAGGCAACACTCTCCACACAGACCAAGCCAATGGTGCATGCGCACGCGTGCGCACACACAAGACACAGGGGTGCACAAGAATCCACCGCTACCGTCTCCTGCAACTGCATGCAACGAACAGAGGAGCAGGCAAAGCAGATTGGCTGCATTTAAGGACCTCAGACCAGGGAGGAACAGCGATCAGCTTCCAGGCCCTCTGATCCCAGCACAGCAGGGCCAGGGAAACTGCCCAGGGGGGCTCTATGAGCACTTCCCATCTGCCAGACAGTCTGCCTCTCAACCCCCCCCCCCGGGGGCTGGTGGACAGGGCACAGAGAGTGTCCCTGGTCTCAGAAACTGAGATGAAGGCGCACCCCTGCCCTCCCCATATACACCATAAAGCTGCCCATGGTCTGGACCGAACCCGGGGGCTAGAGGGGCTCCTGATCTAATCCAGACCCCTGAAGGCATGTTATTTATCACAGGTGCGGACATGGAAGTTGGCCAACGACAGGTCCATGGATTAAAGACAAAGGAGCAAAGAGGAAACCAGCCGAGGAATGTCTGTACTCACCCTGGGAAAAAGATGCTTTCTACCACATAGAAATCTTGCATGAGGACATCTCGCTCAGGCTTGGTGCTCAGGCTCCCCACCGTGTGGGTGATCCCAAGCTGGATGGCTCCTTTCAGGGCGGAGGACGTCGTCTGAAGGGGAGAGAGAGAGGAGACCAAGAGCCAGGGTTAATGGGGCAGGAGGCTGGGGGGGCGTAAAGGGGGGGATCTGGAAGATGGCCATTTACTGCCAACACCTTCCCATCGCACAGCAAACAGACCACATGTTGTTCCATGCCAAACAACATCCGAGCTTAGAAAAGTTACTTTAAAAAAAAAACAACCCTTATGACTCCTAGGATCCTGCAGCCAGCAAAGCCCCCGGCACCTCCCTTTCGTGACACAGCCACAGGGGACACCGGCGGAAGGGTTCTGGAAACTGCCCCCTGAGAAAGGTGCTTTTCTCCAGGCTGCTCTGGAAAGGACCTGAACACCCACTCTGATTTCTATACCTACATCACACTGCTCAGCGAGTACGATGGCAACAGACGGAAGGCTTCTGTCAACTGCCTAAGGAAGGCTTTTGAGATGCAAAGTACAGAAGATGCACAGAAACAAACACACAGAGTCAGAGAGAACACAAGCTGCGTAAAGACGCATTTGCTGACATTTACATCGGATTCCACACAGGGTCCAAACAGATTCTCTTTCACATCTATCCCAAATCATTGTTTCCTCTTCAAACAAGGGGAACCAGGTACTTTTTTGGGCTGCTGACGGTCTCTTGGGAGCGTCACAAACAGCCGCGTATCAGTCTGTTAGAAGATGTCTCAGAAGCCAGCGTGGGGGCTGAGCTGTCACTAAGATGAAAGGGGGTGCCGATCTTTGGTCCTGGACAACTCCTCTGCACCCAATTCGGGGAGTTTTCATCCAAAGTGCACCAAGCGGGGTGCCTCTACTGAGGATCAAATAACTATTACTATTTTTAAAATCAGGAGCCTGCCTTTTTATGCTCCCCAGATCGCTTCTAGAGGCTGGACGGGACAATGGAATCGACTAGAAGGGAAAAGAGCAAAAAAAAAGAGCCAACGACGGTTCTGAAGCCTGGATGTCTAAAGCCTGAAGGGGTGCCCAGGACAGAGGTGACCAAGGCCCCCTCCTTTCCTCCCTTGGAGGCTGCTGGAACAAACGAACCAACCGAGGATGACCAGGCCACCTCCTTTGAAACAGGGAAAAGCGGAGCAACTGCCCCCCCCGCCCCCGTCTATCTTGAGCAAAGAGATGCAGGACAGGGGCTCTCGCTTCCAAGCTCAGCGCCACCCTCTGCACTTGGGCCGGGAGGGGGGGCCTTCTCCTCTGGCGTTTCAACACGGCAAGGAAATTCTAGGGCTTGGCCCACCCTGGGAGGAGACGGTCCATCTCCACGGGCAGATTTCAAGACACACAAAGCGCACCTGCTCAGAAAAGCTGGGAACTCGACGCATGCCTAGGCGAGGAGCAGCAAGGACACAGAAACTATGCCTAAGCCCGGCTCAGCTGGCACCTGGGGAGGGTGCGTCCCGGCAAGGCAGCCTCCCGGCGCCTCCTGGCAGGAGCCACGCTCTTCTCCTGGGCCCTCCTCAAAGCCTCCCTGAATAATCCTCTGCAAGCACCGTCTCCTGGGGTTCAAGTACCGTCTAGCCCAGCGACTGGTTTCCAGGGGCCGTTCAGCCAATGCCTCTGGAAGGAACAGCTGGGAGGCGACGGGTTGCCTTCGCTCGCTGTGCCAGGCGACCCGCCTCCGTCTGCAACCGGTCCAGGCAGCTGTCGAGGCTGCTGAAACCTGCCTTCCCCAAATGCACGCAGGCCCTTTCTTCGAAGCTTGTGACACACACAACCACCACCACCACCCCCGATTTTGTCAGGCCAGAACTCCCATGATCCACTAGCCAAGCTGACCAAGGACCATGGGAACTGTGGTCCGACAGTACCTGCAAAGTGGTGAATCGCCCCACCCCAGCTCCTTGTGCTCACTGTGGGGGGTGGGTGGGTGCAAGGGCATATCTTCAGCTCAGTTCAGTTGGGTGTGGAAGCAGGTAAGATCATCATGGTCTTTTAGAAAAAGAGAGAGAGAGAAGAAGAAGAAGAATCAACCTTTGCCCTTGGTCTGGCTGCTTAGAGACGATGCTTACTTTCCAGGAGATCAAGAAAAGGAGGTCTCTTCCGGAGCTTGGTTTAAAACAGTTCTTGGAAGCTTGGCTTCACTTGCCTAACTCTTTTCCACTCCCTCTCTGGAAGAGAAAACAACCACCCTCGTCTCTCCCTTCCCTTCCCTTCTCCTCCCTTGTCACCTACAGAAGACGGCTCACTTCAAAGTCAGGGGGGAAATCCCCGCCCTCCTTCCATCCCACATTGCCTTTCCTGCTTTCCCTGACACAAGCGGCCCCGCCCCGAGCCACCAGATCTGGCCTTTAGGATCCCTCTGGTCATCTCTGGCGTCCTGGGAATTTCCTGGCCATTCTCTCAAAAAGGACCACGGGGGGGGGGGAGGCCTACCTCCCTGCCTGCCTCTGAAAGTACAGACCCAAGATGGCAGAAGCAGGCCCGCCTTAAGGGATTCACCCAGGCAAGGCTTTAATTACCAGGTTAGGCTGGGCTGCTTGTCCTTTGGTGGGACGGGAAGAGCGCGCGGCTAGGCAAGGCGCAACACGGAGCTGGGTGGAATCCAGCACCGTGTACCAAAGACGACATGGCCCTGAGAACCAAAAGACTTTTTTTAAAATGAAAGGCACAGTCATGGGGCTGGCGGGATATCCGAGAGAGGGCCGGGGGGGGGCGGGCTGTTGGCATGTTCTCTGGGCCACCAGACAGGAGGCCAGGTGGCTATGGGGGCTGAGAGACCGTGGGCATCTTAGTAATGGTTATAAAAAAGAAGCCTTCACCCTGCGGGGATATACATCCCACTTTGGTCTCCCTCCCTCGGAATCCTCCTTTTCTGCGAAGGTTTCTTTTGCCCCAGAACCTTGTTCCTTTCTGTGTATCGCTAAAATGCTTCCCCGTCCTCTAACCAGCCTTCCTTTCCTTTCCCTTCCGTCCCTTTCTCTCTTGTGCTAAATTCTAGTGCGAGCTCCTCCACCACAAACGGCAATAACAACAACACGGTACGCACCAGAGCACCTCAGACAGGCTGGCTGCTGCTGCTCTCTCTCAGGCGGCCCCTTTTGCCCAGATCTGCAAAACGGGGGATGGCAACAACCCTGAGGCCTCCACGGGTTCGTGGCAAGGAGCCCCACGCCAATACCTGAGGGCCTGCAATTGGGCTCAACGGCCGTGCTAGCAGGGACTTGTTCAGAGCCGCAAAACAAGCGAGTGAACCGAGCGATGGGGAGAATCTGGAGCAGGGCTAGGCAGGAGAGAAGCCCAGATCTCTTGGCTCATCTCTGGGTGAATAAGCTGCGGGAAGCTGCGTTCTGCCAGGTCTGAATTTTAGGGTGGAAGAACTCAGAATACTTTGGGTTCGTTTTTCATGACAGGATCTTGAGGGTGGATCTTGAGGAGAGAGGAAAGGCCACAATCCTGAAGTCCACCCATTACTGATTTGTGCTTAGCCTGCAGCTCCCCGACAGAGAGAGAAAGAGAGAGAGCCACAGCGCTGCATGCACCGGAAAGCTGAGCTGGAGACTCAGGAGTCGTTCACCTGCTCCCAGAAAGGAAGGAGCTCAAGGAAAAGCAGAAGTTGCCCCATCCTGGCGGCAGGCGCTTCAGCTTCTGTAGACGTTCCAAAGTGACACATGGATGCAAGGTATGCAATGGCGTGGCAGAGGCACAAAAAAAATGAGCACCACAACAAGCCAAACCCAACGATTGCCCTGGGGCAAGGGAGGGGGCCGGCAAATACTCCAAACAATGCATGCAGAGGAAACAGGAAGAGCCTCTCTCTCTTTCTCAAAAAACATTTCTGGTGAAATTCCAAAGGGCTTTTCTGAAACTAGAGGGAAGTGGGGGCAGGAAGAGAGAAAAAGAAGAAAGGAGATAGAAACACTTCTCGCCCGGCTTTTGCCTGGCTTTTGGCGTCAAAGGGTAAGGACGGTCCTTCTGCCACAAACACCAGCAGGACGGTTGGGAGCGAAACCAGCTTAAGGGCACAGGGAGGGGACCCGAGGCGAGCGCCTGAGCCTTCCTAAGAGCAGCCTCTCCAGCCAGCGCGGGCCTTGCCCGCTGCGCCCCAAATCGCCCCACAAGCCGACCCCTTTCCCGCTCCCCCATCGGGCCCAGGGGTCCCCAGCCCTTAAAGGCCGCCACACTTACATCGAGAGAGGGCCGTCGCAGGGAACGGATTGAAGTGGCATCCATTTCATCCGGGCGCGGGAAACAGGCTCAGAGGCAAAGCAGACCAAAGCATAACTGCTGGACTCCAACCTAACTTGAGCCTTGGGGAATTCTGCCCTTCGCCACAAGGGTTAAGAAAAAAGATACACAGCAACCCCCTGGGGTTTTTCCTTCTTCCTCGTCTTTTAAAGCAAACCCCAATGCAATTCCAAATTAGAAACCTGCTTCCAGCAGAGACAGAAAAAATATACGAGGGGAAAAAAGGGGGCAAGGAAGAAAAGTCCCTCCTTTGGCCTTCAAGTCGCTGCAACCTGCCGGCAGGTGCCCGTCAAGAGAAATGGCTTGGGCCTTTTTATGCTGAGCCCGATGACTCAAGAGCTTGGGAATGCAGGGTGGAATCTCTGTCTGAGGAGGGAGGAGACACACACACACACACTCTCTCACACACACAAACACGGCAAGGGGGGGGGAGATGCAAAATGGCTCCTACCTTAACACGGCAAGGGGGGGAGATGCAAAATGGCTCCTACCTTTTTATAGGTGGTTTCGCCAGTGGAGTCCACCCCCCTGTGCCCTTTCTTTATTGTCTGTGATGAATAGCCAGAGGAACCCGGCACCTGGAATTGGGAGGAGAGGAATAAAAAGACAGATAGGTAGAAGTTAGGATAGTCTCATATGGTTCTCAGCTCCTCCTCCTCCTCCTCCTCCTCGCGGTTCTCAGCTCCTCCTCCTCCTCGGCTGACAGTGGGGCACCGAGGGGAAAACTAGAAGAGGCTCCATGTGAAGGAGAGGCTGCTATCGGCTGGCCCCTCGAGTGGAAAAGAAGAGAAAAGATGGACTCTCAATAGACACAGGCTCAGTTTTTCTTTTCAGGGGGGTGGGGGGGGCGAGGAGCAACCTACAGACTTGGTGCCTTAGAAACGAGAAGACAGGTCTGTGCCCCATTGGGTTAGGAAGGAGGTAATAACTGCTAGCTAGTCTTCTTGTCCTTGGCTGAAAAGGGATGCCGTGATATATCTGAGATCTTCTGCTGAGAAAAAGGTAACTGTGGCAAAACATTTTTCATTCCTGCACAAGAGCAAAAGACTGCCCCCTTTTTTCATTCAATCTCAAGGGAAAGAAAACCCAGCATCTATGGATGTTGTTTTTTTTTTCAAAAAAACCTGCTCAAATGTTAAAAATGCCAACAACAACAACAACAACAACACCCAATCTCAAAACCTTCATCCTCTCCATCAGCAGAAAGATCCCTCTTTTTTGCAAGGATGAAATATACGGGCATTTACACTCTACAGGTTGCCACAAGGGAGAAAAGAAAGGAAGGGGAAAGAGAGGTGGAGGCCGGATCAACAGATGAAGACTGGTGTGTTCCTTTCAGTCCGAGGTTGCCTCCAAAGGCCTGTGAACTGACAACCGAGAGAAGAGCAAACGTCAGAGAGAGAGAGAGAGAGAAAGAGAGGTGGAGGCTGGATCAAGAAATGAAGACTGGTGTGTTCCTTTCAGTCTGAGGTTGCCTCCAAAGGCCTGCAAACTGACAACCGAGAGAAGAGCAAACATCAGAGAGAGAGAGAGAGAAGAAAGAGGATTGGAGCCATCAGAAGGCGGAGAGAATGGCTCTGGCTACCCAGATTGAGATGGCACTGCCGTAAAAACGCAAGTCGATAAATAGGTACCACCACGGTGGGAAGGTCACAGCGTGTCGCATCTAGTCGCGCTGGCCACGTGACCACGGAAACTGTCTACGGACAAACGTCAGCTCTACGGCTTGGAGATGAGGATGAGCACCGTGCCCTAGAATCAGACACAACTGGACTAAATTGTCAAGGGGAACCTTTAACTTTACCTTCACCTAAGGCCACTGTGCCCAAGGGATCTTGGAAAAGGCTTGAGGAAACAGGTCCACACAGGAAGAACGAAACACGGGAGACATTCTGACTGAGAACGGGAGCACCGGGCCAGCCTTCTCCACCTGATATTTCACAGAGACACTGTGCCCAAGGGATCCTGGAAAAGGCTTGAGAAAACAGGTCCACATAGGAAGAACAAAACACGGGAGACATTCTGAATGAGAACGGGAGCACCGGGTCAGCCTTCTCCACCTGATATTTCACAGAGATACTGAAGCTGAACAGAAACACCCACTACCACCACCACGGCTTAGGCGGGACCTTCTGTGCACGAGGACTGTGCTCCACTCAGAGCAGAAGGCCCCCTGTTTTGAGAAGGATCAGATGTCCCCCCTAAACCCGGGCAAATTCATCCCCTTTCAAGCCCCAGGCCCACCGTCCGTCCAGAGGCAGAAGCTTCAGAGCCACAGACAAGAATCACAGCGTTGGACCAGAAGAAAATCCTCCCGTGGGCTTCGTGCATCCCAAGTTAGCAGGAAGCAGTAAGAAGGGACTACGGGAAACTGGGCGAGCTTAGGCAGCTTCTCATCTGTAGCAGTGGTTTCCTGGCTCTGTCTTGAGCAAACATAAAACTGCAACTTACCTCCAGTGATTTCTTAAATGTTGCTGTTCCTGGTGCCCCTGCCAGTGAAAAAGAAGACAAAAAGGAAGTCAGTGGAGGAAGAGAGAGAGACGGAGAACGACGGAGGTTAAGCAAGAAGGCCTTCGAGCTGCATTGCTCCAATTTTTACGTAGCTAAGAAGCCAACTCAGACACCCCAAGACAGTTAATTTCAAACCTCCTCAAGCAAGGAGGGGATATAAGGAAAAAGAGATACTCTATATTTCGTCCTGACCTCCTGGAAGAAAGGGCAGGATCAATATTAAATGACAGAGTAAAAACTCCAAGGGAAAATTTGGCTACACTTTTATCTACCAAAGAAGACAGAGCCAAAAATGAACAGACAAGCAAACACACCAGCGCAGTCATTTCTGGCTCCCTCACAGCTAAGAAAAGAAAAATCGCCCTGGTCCCGGCAGCCATTCGACCTGACCTCTGTCAGTGACAGCAATCACACCATCATGTGGTGGACATTTTGGACAGCAGCCTGTCCAGCTCAGGCTCAACTGGATTCTGCGAATTCCTCGTGTTTTGTGTAAACCAAGAATCAGGCACACAGACTGCAGAGGGCTGAGTCACCCTTCCACCGGCCAACCTCCGCAGTCTCAGGAGACGTTCTGCTCTCCAAAGAGCAGTCGGGGCAAGTGGGAAGACGCTGGCTTTATACCGGTTGCACACTTCAGGAGCCTGCATGCTCAGGCTGACTGCTTTGTACCGGTTGCGCACTTCAGGAGCCTGCATGCTCAGGCTGACAGCCTCGCCTCCGGAAAAGGCAGATCAGCCATGCAGCAGAACCAGACGCTCCTTTTCTCTCTTTCTTGTCTTCTGGAGGTCCATGTGGCCCCGAGAGGGTCACCGCGGGGGAGGGCAGAGAGAACTGCCCTCCCAAGATGCAAGAGTCCCCCATCCCTGCCCCCAGAATTATGGCCCTTCAACTCAGACGCTGTCAGAGGAAAGACTGAGGTCACTTGCAGTCCAGCCCAGAATGAGATCTGAGGCCTGCCTCACACAATACTTTGCACATGCTCTTGGCACTGGTGAGAAGAGAAGCTACCTCTATAAAGAATCAAGCCCTCCTCAGCCTCCAGAAGCCCCGGGCGGCCGTTCTCAGCGAGGCCTGGGGCTGGGCAACCTGGGAGACGAAGGCAGTTGCCGCCCAGCACAACTGGATGGAAGGAGGTGGCTGTGGGCCCTCAGCACCATGCCAGCTGCTCGGAGGGTTGCGACAGGCCCTGGCATTGGCTCCCAACCCACACTCTCCTCCTCCTGCTGCTGCTGCTGTTGCAGCTCATGCAGAGCTCCCAGGCAAAGGTGAATCCCCGCCTGACCCTTTGCCAAGCAGGCCCTGGCACGAAGGCTGCCTTTCGGGCAGCTGGCAGGGGAGCGCCTGACGTGGGGGAACGGGAACCATTATGCCCAGGGCGGTGAGGAGAAACCACCGAGCTCTGCTGCCCTTTGCTTTCCCCACACAGCAGCTTGGGCTGAGCCAAACAAGGCTAACTCCAAGGCCGGGAATGCAAGCAGCCTTTCGGGCCTCACTGCTCCCTCCATCCCTCACCCCGGACCACATCCATGGCCAACCCATGAATGGCCAAACGAGGGGACCTGTTTCCAAGGAGTGTGTTACCTGCCCAAGTCAGCTGGTAACCCTCCAGAACTAGCTCTGCTAACATGTTACCATCCATTCACAAAATCCTTGTTTTGTAAAAAGGGCTTTTGTAAAGAAAAAAATATAGCCCTTCCGCTTAAGGTGCCTGAACCCCATTCAATCTAGGGGAGAAAAATCTCCATTCTTACCACCTCCCAGGCTGCTGACTTTCTGTCCTCCCTGTTCTTTTAAAAAGTCAAGGCCAGAAAGGTACTAACTTGGCAAAGGCTGATGATTGCCCTTGCTCTGCAGACACTGAGCAGTGTGCGGGTGTTGATGTGTGTCCAGTAAGGGGATCTAGGCCAGCTCTGTTGCTGTCTGCTCTGAATTTTAATTGCAGAGAAAAATACAAAAAGGCCATCACCACCACCAGTGATACATATATGGATCTCAAATACATGCCAGCCCTGTTCTCCTGTTGTCTATGCAATCGATCCTGAGTCCACCTCCACCCAGGCATGGGATCACATGGAACACTGCATGTGTGGATGGACAGCAGAAACCCCAGGATTCCAAGGGGGGCAGGCAGACACACACACACAGAGTGTGTGATCTCCTGCAAATTATGGACCATGAGTAGGGAGGTCTACTGTCAAAGAAAACAGCACCTCCTCATGGTCAGCGTCGGCAATGACCACCTTTTTTTCAGTTTGCAAATTCCACAAACAGGAAGATTGTGAAAACGGCAGCCCAAATGGGAAGTCCTATTGATTAGGCAAACACAGGCTCAGAAATACCTCTTCTCAGACATGGTGGTACCATCTGTTTGCTTAGCAAATAGGGAAGCAAGCTCATTCTCCAAGGATCAACTCCCAGTAGCTTCATTAGCAAAACTGTTCTCTGCAGAGGGCTGCTTGGCCCCTTTTGTGCGATTTCAACCACAAAAGTAGACTATAATACCAATAAAGATCCCGGGTACAAATGCACGGAGGGAGCAGCTAAATAAATCCTTCAGACCTGCTTCAAACCCCCCGTCTGGTTCAGGCTGGTTACATTCCAGCCCTCCCCTTCCTAGCCCCCTCAAACACCCAAATATTCCTTAAGCAAAATGAAAACTGGCCAGCTGGCACAGCATGCTAGCCCATCCTTCCGGCAAGGGGCAAATGGAAGTGTCTGATTGCAGCTCCTAAGCTGCTGGGGATTACTACCCAAGAGGACGTGAAAATCCACATCTTGGGGTTCAGAGAAGTACTGATGAAGAAGGGAGAAACCAGGGAGCCCTTTTCAGTTCTGTGGCTGGTTCTGTTTTCCTTCTCTTCTCTTTGTAACTGTTTTGTTTGGTTTCTCTGTCTTGTTTCCTTTTTTATTAGTAAGCTATTCTGTATGTTTGCAAAGCAACGTGCCACCGTTAACTGTAGATGAAAGAAAGGGATACCAAAACAGCTCTCCTGCTACTGTTATCATAATGCACTTCCAGACAGGAGGCGTCAGAATGGACGTTCCTGCTCCCGAATCCAGAGCAGTGGCAGAGATCCCATTCTCTTCCCCAAGCCTTCCTCAAAAATGCAGGAGGGAGAGAATCCTCTCAGCCACATAGAGAGCGCCTGAACATTTCTATGAGAAACTACAAATGACTTGGCCTTTGTCCCCTGATCACGCTACTTGTTGAGAGCTTGGAAGTAAGGAAACAAGACGTAACTAAATTATTTGTTGGTTCATTTCTCTGTCAGGAAGAAAACTGGAGTGTAACAAAACTATATTTCAAAAGTAACGTAACAGATTGGAAAGGAGTTACTCCAATGGTTTAAAAAAAGTGCAACATCTCCTAGTTACTTTTAAATGAAACATTGTTCTCAAATGAATTTTTAAGGATGTATTGACAGGAATTTTTAAAGGTCTACGTCATTCTTTTACAAATCCTAAAGGCTTCCGCCCTACAAGGGGACGAGCATCATAGATTACTTGTTAAAAATGTTCCCTTTTTTTCTAGACAGGATTTAACAAAACGCCACCAGCACTAAATCCCCAGAATCTAATAACTTAAAAGGCAAACACTCCAGTGCAACTTTCTCACTTGTCAGAGACGCCTGTCACATGACATCTAATATAATGCAGCTGACAGCGATGCATCCTATGCAAAGGGGCAGTTGCATAAAAATAAAAAGCCGAAACATCAGCCACTACCAGCCCATTGACCGCTTCAGTGGTTCAGCGTAAAGGAAGCCAGCCCAAGCCGAGAGCGGGGGCTTCTTTGGAAAAAAACAGGCATGCAGTAAGTTTGCGAAAGCAGTTGAGTGCAACAACATTCATCCTGTTCCCACTAACTCCCAATAGCAAAGGGCTGCAAAGTTTCACTTTTTTTAAAAGAAAGCCAAATTAAATGCACACAACTCCTCCACCAGCAAAGCTGTGTTATGTACAGCAGTGGTTCTTAACCTTTGTTACTTGGATGTTTTTGAACTGCAACTCCCAGAAACCCCAGCCAGCACAGTCGGTGGTGAAGGCTTCTGGGAGCTGCAGTCCAAAACTCCTGAGTAACCCAAGGTTAAGAACCAGTGATGTACAGGATGGTATGTCTACACAAACCAAGGAAGAGGCAACTCAATGACAGGGTTGGAAGTCCCCAGATAAGTCAGAACTAAAACTTTCTAAGGCTACTAACATAAGGAGAATCAACTGGAGCCCTGGGAAAAAAATCCGTTTCCCTCTTGACCCCTTTATGCATAAACCCCAAGAGGTTTGGGAAAAGCACTCCCTGATACAGGAAGGCGCCTCTATCAGTTCGCACAGATAAGCCACAATGCTGGGAAAGTTGGACCAATGGCTTCTGTTTCAATGAGGTGCCCCCCCTTCCTCCAAGGGTCTTCCTCTACTATTCTCTACACCTAAGGAGAGGCCACTGCAGAGCTGGAAAAGGTGCACAAAAAGGGCAACCCGGTCGATCCAGATCAAGTAGAGCAGCTCCTTGGCAAAAGGTGAACATTTGTGGGCCTCTTAGGGAGTTAAGGGGAGGCACGATATAGGTATGAAAAACCAGACCTGCCACAGAGAGTTTTCTCTTTTTTTCATAATATTAGAACACAGTCAGGTCTTCCATTTAAGTCAAAAGGTGGGAGAATCAGGGCATAGCTCAAGTTAAAACTGTGCAACTCCTGGCCAGAAACGTCATCATGACGATGGACAGCACTAAAAGCAGGCCTGCACTCGTAATATTAGAACACAGTCAGGTCTTCCACTGAAGTCAAAAGGTGGGAGAATCAGGGCGGTGAAAAAGGAATTCTTTGCATAGCTCAAGTTAAAACTGTGCAACTCCTGGCCAGAAACGTCATCATGACGATGGACAGCACTAAAAGCAGGCCTGCACAAATTCACCGAGGGAAGGGGGCCATCCATGGCTGCCCGTCAGAACAGCTCCATGTCACCTCCAGGATCT